AGTGTCATATAACCCCATAAAAGTAAATAGTTTATCACCCTCCATCCAAGTGCAAGAACGAAATTCCAGTTTGCAGTCCAGCGCGCTGAAGAAAGAAGAAGAGAGATATAACCTTCATTATTGAAGGTAGTGTACATTTAATTTAAATACGCAGACAATTTAATTACACAGATTTTGGATCATTCTCAATAAAAAAGGTTAATTGTAGTTTTTCTCTAAAGTTGATCGTTTTCAACTTAAACAATTTAAAACTGAAAACAAAAACGAAAAATCATGATTTTCGAGGCCCTAAAACACAATTATTTTTGAATTCACCAAACCTTGTTTTATCAGTTTCTGATACTTTAGTTTGGGCTTATTTGATTTTAAAACATTGTTTTTAGTTGTTTGAGGCCCTTATCCCAATGTAAAAATGAATTTATACAAAACTATTCAATAAATTAGGACCACTTTTTGTATGGGCGACATCTTGAACATTATTCTGCAGTTTTTATGAAAGTGATTATGCCATGGACGTATAAATTTATACGTCCATGGATTATGCAAAAAATTTCATGCGGCAAAAAATCTCATGTGAATATTTTTCCCAAGGAATTTGTTGTTTTCATCTCGTATATAAACATATTTTGCTGAATTTAAATCCAAAATCCTATTATTTTTCTATCATACATTTATTTGTTATTTATTTATTTGTTCTCTAGATTTTTTTCAATTCTTAAAAGGTTTATTTACAAGCCAAATTAGTGCAATGTAAATATTTTACATGTTTACACAGCAATTCTTATCGGCTGTGAAGATGGGAAGTCGTAAATTTTTATAGCTAAAATAAAAATGCGATGACTAACTGGAATGTTTAACGGTACACATATGCGAGCATTTTTATTGTCTCATCAAATCGAAATTGTATGAATGACGTGTTCCTTCCTAGAAAGACGTGAAAAAACAGTAAACGGATTATTGTACATATTTTTATTTTTGTTAAACAAGCAAATGATGTCTTGATTTACATTATTGAACGTGACTTATTTATGTGTGTAGAGGAAACTTTTGTGGGTTGTAACAAATCTCCCAAATTGTTTTTTTTGGAGTCGGTTGAAGTTTTTGAAATATTTTATTTATTCTAGCCTATACTAGGGACTCTATTACATTATATAGTATATATATATATATATATATATATATATATATATATATATATATATATATATATATATATATATATATATATATATATATATATATATATATATATATATATATATATATATAGATGAGAAACAGAAACACAATAAATCAGTACCCAAATTATAAATAAAATTAATCATTTCGCACATGTGTGTTCGTTGCTGGTTTTCGCTTTCCATGGCTCGCGAGATGTTCGCGAACCGTTCGATGTAGATATATTTTCAACGAGCTGTACGCGTACCGTTCGTATACCGTTTGGCTCGCATATCTGTACGCGCCTTAAGATTAGAGAAACATAATATGTCATGTTTATTGGAAATACTCGACATTATTAGCACGTGCAAATCCTACCCTGTCGCCCAATTTCTTATGAAATTAAAATGATGCATGTTTTTAGGATCCATTTATTTTTTCGGGCATGCGTATTTACGAGGTCCACGAGATTCTGAAACATCTTTACATAGATAGTGTAACGACATTGTGGAAAATAGTTTTGGCATCATGTCGAGCACTAGTTCTAATAAAAGCGGCTTACTTCCTTCACATAAATGTGCGTAAACGAGAGGGAATTAACTATAGGGCCTTAGACTCAGGTGAGGCTAACGAGATGATCTATCATCATGCAAAAACAATTTGTAATACAAGAGGGTTCTTCAGCAACTACTGTTAAGGAATTATTTTGCAAACTTTTTTCATTGTACATCTCTACCATGACAATGGAAATATATTGTAGGTACCAGAAGTAAGCAATAATAGTACAAGCAGTTAATTTTATAATTAATATTAAAACGAAAGAATAGAGAAAAAGGGTCTTTAAAAAAACAACGGGATAGATGCCTTCAAGGTAAAAACAAATGGAGAATTCCGAGCAGTCTTAGCGAAAAAGTTCGATTCATATACTTCACATAATCAGGACCAAATTGACCAAGTTAATAAAAACCTTGAAGCTGGACTACAGGCCGCAAAGAAAATAAGAGTTAAAGAAGACAAAATAAGCAACGAAACCAAACATATAATAAAGGAAAGAAGAAACTACTAGCGGAAAACAAATGCCGATTCAAGAATACGTAGAACTAAGTAATATAATTAGAAAATAATTAAAATGTGACATCAAAAAATGGAAAGAAAAAGTAGAGCAAATCAGAAGCTTAAAATGTTATGGCTTTGCATCTATGCCATACAATCTCATGCTATTGAAGTCTGTCTTGCGTGGCATATCTCTTGCCTAGCCCACAGACCTAAGGTAGGTGATTTGTAGCCTGATTTGTTTACATCAGAGGTATTTTATGCTATTTTGAGATATCACTTTCACTGCAGCCAACAGAAGAAATATATCAAAATATTAACCTTAGATATTTCACTTGGAAATTTCAGTCCATCTTTAAATATATTCAAATATAAATCATATATAAACAAGGATTCAGATCCTGCGTAGACGCCGTATTTGTACTAAGACAAATCACAGAAAAGACCATCAAGTACAATAAACCAGCGTATCTATGTTTTATAGACCTGACAAAGGCTTTCGATCGCATCCAAGTCGAAGATGTCTTGCACCTACTGTAGAAAAGAAACATACCAATCAATATTATACAAACCATCGAAAACATCTACTTCCATAATTGAATACAAGCAAAGATAAATGGAAAACTAAAATAGTGTATATCAGTACAAAACGGAGTCAGACAGGGTGACTCGTTAAGCCCACTTCTCTTTAATATAGTAATGGACGAAATAATAAAAGCACTACGTAAAGGTCATGGTTACAGAATGGGGAACAAAGAAATCCAAATATTATGTTACGCAAACGAAGCCTCATTAATCGCCGAGACAGAAGACAAGCTCTAAAGGTACATCTTCAATACAACAGCCAAGAAATACAATATTATGATCATATCAGCAGAAAAAACCAAATGTGTGACATCTAAATACCCACTCCGATGTAAAATCGAAATTGATGGGAAAATAATAAAGCAGGAAGCAAGGTTTAGATATATGGGAATAGATATAACCAGTTACGCAAATGTTGAAAAAGAAGTACGATAACATAGCTTAAAAGCAAGTAAAGCGGAGGGATCTCTTAATGATGACATAGATCTATAAAGCAACAGAGATGAAAATACTCTGACGAATATCAGGGAAAAGTCTGTTGGATACGAGAGAAGCGAAAACATAAGAAGAGTATGCAATATAGAAGACATTATGGATAGGTGACAAAACGGAAACAGGAGTGGAACGAACACATTAGTAGAACAGCAGAGGATAGGATAGTACAAGATAAGTCACCGAATGGACGAAGAAGTATTGGCAGACCAAGAAAAAGATAGTGCTATAATTTAAACAATTTAAGAGGCTAATATTGAAGAAGAAACAGGCTTTAAAGCCTACATACAAGAAGGAAGAAGAAATATAAATCATTTATTAATACATCCAATAAATATCATTTGCACTTGGTGAATAAGATTAAGTTCTTAAGTATATCCTGTGCACATGCGCAGTTGCATTGCATAATGTAAAACCGACTTAAAAGCAACACTGAGTGTTCAAAAAGGTTGTCATTATTAAAGACACCAATACCAAGGAAGAGAACAAATATAAAATAAAGTTAGTTGAAGACTTCTTCAACGATATAGACCTATATCGTTGCTCAGTAAAATGTACAATGTGTTTATGAGAATTAACAACTGTTTGACTCACAAAATGAATAATTATCAATAGGTAGATTAGACTGGCTTCCGCAGTGAATATGGTACATCAGACTAACTGCTAACAATTATAGAGGAAACATCTAATCATCAGTTTGGGTTAAGATGAAAGCCATTCAATGATTGATCAGGTGAATAGAATAACAAATAACGGGAATAAGAATAAACAAACCAATACATTATGAATGTTACGAGGAGTAATCCCAAATTATGATTTTAACAATGTGTAAACATACATATTCACCTCATAAACTATATAAACAGACATCGTAGCATAAGCTACCGGTAACTCCAGTAATTAACAGCATACCATATGATTTAGTAGTCATAATATGTGGAAGAATTTACTATAACTTAGTTGGACTACTGTTGTCTCACTGCTAACGTTGTAGCAAGGGTGTGTACCAGGGAATTGCATTTACTTATGACACATTAGGAATTCTTGCTGTACCAGCACAGTAATTTTCTAGAAAACCTTCTATTCATGAAGAGGAATACCAATATTTATGGAACTCACAAAGATCAACATGATTATGATACTAGGCAAAAAACAGAATACAATACAGCATATTGGCATTTGAAAAAGGTGTCAAAAGGGACCAGGATATTGGGCAATAAAATGTTTTAATGTTCTGCCTGAAATTATAAGAAATTGGCCTGAAAAGAAATTTGAAAATAAAATTTAAAAGATATTAACAAAAAATTAATAATTTAATGTTATATGTACTCAGCAATAATACAAATCTAGATTCTATAAATTCTGTTCAACAAAATTAACTAACGTTTGCATTAAAGGTCTCTGACAACCCAAATTAATGCATCATTGGTGTACCGCTTCATCTTTGATGTAACAAAACGGGAATCCAGGGCGTTGAATTTTGGTTGCAAATAAGATCTAGCAAACATGACTGAAATACTGAAATGAAAAAAAAACATGAAAAATAATAACTGTTTGGGATTTAGGGAGGATAAGGATGTGGATAGGTGGAAACAAAAGAAAAAAGCTATACATACTTATAACATGTCAAAAGGGGCACTAAAGGAAGAGAAAAATGGAGAAAATGATCATATTTGTACAGGAGGTTAGATTAATAAAGTTAATAAGCTCTGTACATCTAAACATTAGAATATTTATTTGAATACAAAAAACAACAATCTCCAAAATAAAAGAACTCTTAGGGGTACTTAATTAATGATAGGTACTCTATTGTACCTCTGTCAATTAAATGGTCAAGTCCTTCATTTGATAATGGGCTCATAATGGTTTTACAGAGTAAAATAAGTAAGTATGTTCATGCTATATTATATTTTATCAATAATATTTCTGAACTATTCTGAGCCTAAACCCTTATATATAATTAAAACTGTTAATAATCCAGTGCCCATTCATTTTCAGTTAAAAAAGCATCCACAACTTCTTTCATAGCAAAATTGGGTATTAATTGATCTTGAGTCAATTTAACTCTAGTCACAGGGTCAAAGTGACCAACTCTTTGTAGGTGTTCCTCTAAATCTTTCTTATCATAAGTAATACCACTAGGGGTTATAACAGGTTCTTGAAGAATTTCAAAACTAATTTTACCACACAGATAATCTGGAACTTCCCTTTTTCTCCTTCTGTCATCAACTTTAACAAATAATTGGTTAAGATCATTTATATAATTATCACATGATTCCTGAATATGTTCAATCTTTTCTCTGGCACTTTCATTGTCTCCCTCTTCTGCTTTTATTTCTTGAATCCTTGATTCTCTGTCCTTTTCTACTAATTTATTTAAATATGACTGTAGTTCTATTTCTTGTGCTATGCGCTTTTCCTCTTGTAATGAAAATCTAAAAATGAAAAACAAAAAATATTACTGAATAATTTATAAACATTAATCATGTGTACAAGTGAGATATTAAAATTTTCTAACCTGTCTTGGATAAAAGGTGCTCAAATTTAACAGGTATTAAATAAAATATCTAATCTGGGATCAACTAGATCAATAAATATGGCATCAGTGATTCTGAGAGACAAATTTCAGAGACATAAATGTCAAATCTAAGATTTTTATTAAAATGCATAAATAAGGATCAAAACTGTAGATTTAGACATTAGAACTTTTTTTGACCTATAAACTAAAGTATCTGAAAACAATCAAAGTATGAGAAATTGGTAAAAAATGTCTGTTTGGAGATAGAAAGTTAAACAAAAGGTTTGAAACTATTGGTCATTCATAGTAATAATTATGCATAGTAATTACAAAACATGTAACTCAAGAATAAAAAACATCTGAAAGAAATATACCAATTAAAACACCTGTAAAAATCTACAAATCTTCTGAATTTGCAATTCCGTTCCCCAGAAATTCTCTAGACAAATTCAACAAGTGAAAACTATCCATAACCAAGATGATAAACAAGAATACCTTTTCTTTCTAGCTGCTCTTAACTGAGAAGCAATATCATCACCAAAGTTTAATTTTTGTTCTCTAGATAAGTCATTTGCTCGTTGTAAATGTTTAATTGCTTCATCATAGTTATCACTTTCTAGTAATGCTTGTCCAAGGAAGAAGTGAGCTTTTACCAAATTCGAATCCATGTCCAGCGCTCTTCGGCAATCTATGCAAGCTTGATCCCATTCTAATAATTTAAGATAACAAAGAGCTCTGTTGGTGAAATAATGGGCAACACTTGGATTTTTTATTATAGCTTTCGTGTAACAGTTAACAGCTTCTTCATACTTCCTTAGATTGAAAAGTCGGTTTCCTTGCTCTTTAAGTTCCTTATCGGACAGATTCGCTGTTGAATACATGTGTTTACTCATTGTTCGACGTAAAAAATATCAAAATTATTTTGCTACGATCTCATTTTGTTTTAATTTTTGACATTATAACCTAAAAGCTTCTAGAATATTCTTCTTCGGTACCTGTTTTGGCCTAATTCCAGTGGTCAATTTTCCCGTAACTAGCTTTTCGGTCATCGTGCCTACTTAAATTTCCAGGTCGGAACATTAAGCTGTTTCATTTGATGTAATTAAACAATATGACAAAACATACTATAATGGACAAAAATTTTAATATAATTATGCTAATGCCTTGTATCAGGCAACTTTTATATTGCCCAATATCTAACTCTAATGTCATCTGTTAAGTTAACGAGTTACCTACAAGCCATGCAAGTCCTTCTTGCATGGAATAACCGTTGCCTAGCTGATTTGTTTGCATCTGCATCACAGCTATTTTTGTGCAAGATTAGATACCACATACCACTTTCACTGTTGCCAATAGAAGAAATATATCAAACATTAAATTTAGATATTTTACATAGAAATTTCAAATACAAATTGCAAATTATTATATTCAATAAATAACATATGCCTGTATTTATATGTTAGCATTCGTAATACGTGTCCAGCCCATCTAAGTCGCTTTAAATTTAATGAGATTTGCGGCATCTGGTTCATTAAAGTGTTGGTATAATTTAAAGTTATATCTTTTGTACGACTGCCCTTGTTTACACATATGTGATTTTTGGATGTTTCTTTATTTCAATTGTTTTTGGAGTCCACAGTCAGCAGAGGGAGTATAGGTAATAATTAATCCAGAAGAACTTCTGTTTATAGTTGATAACAGGATCGTTTGACAATTTAATCAACTGAGAAATATTCTTTGGTTCCAGACTTTATTAAAGAAGGCCACTGATTTATCTGCGCCCATAGGACTTTCCACAATAGATACGTTATTGATTTTCCATCAGCCGCAAATTTTTCGTACAGACAGATTTATTTCGTACAAAAATATTTATTAAATAAATATTTATTAAATATTAAAAAAATATTTATTAAATAAATATTTTTTATTTAATAAATAAATAACATTGATTATAAAGAAATAAAGGCTTAAGAACAGAGCGTATATCACTCTTACATATTCTTTTCAGGTATCGCATTGTGTATGTAATTGTGTCATTTTAGTTTTTTCAATAACTAGATTTTTTTGGTATTTTTTATATTATTAAATTTAAATTTTATTTATATTATCTTCTTCTTTCGTTTTATGGCCTCCACCTCTTAATTTGCATTATCTATATTATTTATTACTAACATAACCAACCTGTTTGTTTACAAAATGTCTTTTCGAAAAAAATGGCTGATAATTATTTGATGAAAAGTCGGTTGAGTTTACCGAAAGTACAAGCTGAATATAGCCGCAAATGTCAAAAATATTTGGGTTTGACAGTGTTGGGACGTTTTTATAATTCATATATTATATTATATACTTCAAATATAAAGAGAGAAAGCATTTAAGAAGTACATTTTGATTATACTATTTTATGAATTCTGCAATTGTTAATTTATATGAAGCAATAACGAGTAAATGGTAATTGTACAGTATGTCTATGATTGCCGTAAGTCCGGGTTAAACGGGGTTAAAGGCTGATTTATCATGGTACAATAAAATTCACATTGAGAGTTTATTGTACCATGCTGATTTATAAACTTTACGTTGGCGTTGGCGCTGGCGCTGACGTTCGCGTTACAACATGGTCAAATGGAAAACTCGTATGTCTATTTACAAACATCGTTCGCCGTTGGCGTCGGCGTTCGGTTCCGTTCAAGATGAACCAACTTTATCTTTTGCCGTTGGCTGTTGTAGCACAGAATATACAAACCCTTCTGTGGTTGTAGTCACGATCTCAGAACATAAAATAAAACTGCATCTTTGTCATCGCAGCCAATAGCACTATCGAAAAAGTGACAAAGTTTGTCAAACAAATCAAACAAAATTATTTGTTTATGTTTACACGTGTTTATAAAGTGGAAAAGTTTAGATAATAACAAGCCTCTCTTCAACAGAAATTTCATCAGAGCGACAGTTTACATTTATTTTTGGTTTTAGCATTTGCAGTAATTTTTCAAATACTGGAAACTGCATCCTGGTATATTTAAAAAACTGCTGAGTATACCAGTTTTTCATATTTTTATAATAATTAAAATTACCTCTTGTCTTTCTGTTCTGGTTAATGGGTGTCAGTTTGTATCGACAGTGCTGCTCGAATACAAAGTATCAGTGCCACCGCACCTAACAAAGGCCGAGCATTTTCCATAGTGTTAATTTTCAAGCAAAAATTAATAATACCAAATCAAAAATGTAAGGCCAGAAATTAAGATGTGATCTCTAACGCCAACGCGAACCGAAAGTTTATAAATGCAGTGTGTCAACGGTGAACGCCAGCGCCAACGCCAACGTAAAGTTTATAAATCGGCCTTTATTTTTCTATGCACACCACATAAACAACACTGGTTCCCTCTAAAACATGGCGGAACGTCTGCGCGAACGAGATCCGCGTACTTAATTTTTCATGGAGAGTGGACATTCTGATTGTTTATTATTCTGTGACACTGCTACACCGAAATTTTTTGTTCCATGTTTGACATTTGCGGCTATAGCTTGTACTTTTGGTGATCGTATCGTATTTTCATGGTTTAAGAAAACACTATTTATGTAATCTTCTTTTTTTATAGAGAAGTGCTGCAGTATTGCTAAGAGCAAGACAAACTGCAACACACAAGAAATGTGCTGGCGGATGCACTTGTATGCAAGCCAAAAAGACGAAGTGAAGTGAAGTGTACTTTTGGTAAACTTAACCGAAAAGTCCTATCCGGCGCCTGTACTATTGTCTATTCGCTTAGCTAGGGCATATTTTGACAGACTCATTGTAGGAAACCTACAACACAACAATTTCTACTTCTCAGTACAAATAGCTCAAGTATACTACTATTGCAGACCTCTTTTTTTGAAAAAAAGAAGAATTATTCTAAATAGTGGAAGTGTATAATAAACCCATCAAATTTTCGCTGTATATTTAAAATATAATATTTGAATTGTTACAATTTAAAATATTGTAGTAAATATTTGTATTATTCGCGTTGTTTATTTAATTTAATATAGTTTTTTTGTTTAATTCTTTTGTTAGTTCTATTCAGTTAATTAGTTAGTTATATTTAAAATTTTATTATTATGGATAGTCAAAGTTTTCCATTTGTTCCATCAGCTAATGCGTTGGTAAGTTTTTCTTAATAAATATGATAAAATGTTTTTTAAAAAGTTTTTTTTAAAGTTAATATTTTTAGATTAGTAAGGATGCTGTTCCTAGATTACAAGATAACTGCACAAAGATTTATTCAAAATGCCTACCATTTTTTTTTACCGAATGAAAACCCTGTTGAGGTAAGTTGATCATTAAAATGTATTTATGGAATTATGTAATTGTTGTAAATACATAAGGAACTTGCTGTGTCTTATTCTTATTTAACCTCACTTTGACTTCTTAATTTTGTAGAATTTATTCCCACTTTTTTTATTTTGTACAATAAATAATGTTATTATTTGTTATCAATACATTATACGGTATAAATAAATATTGATTGTCGGCAAAGTTCTATTTTATTTACTTTTGTTTACATTAATATTGACTAAGAGCACGTATGCTTGGTTGTATAGTATTTTCCAGCCACTTCGAGTCTGTCAAAAGGTTACTAACTTCGAAAAAAAATAACTACTAAAACTAGACAGTTCGGACTGGGAATAGCGAACCGGGTATATTTTCTATATCTTATGTGTCTAAAGTGTTCTGTCACAGAATAATAAACAAATGTTTATTATTCTGTGGTTCTGTGCTCTATGATATTGGAATTTGGAATATAAACATAAACAATACAGAATGAGGTTAAAGATAAATCCGTTAGCAGAAGCGTCATTTTTGAAAGATGTGTTTGCAAACATTTCTCTTTAAACTAAAATAAATTATTTTTACCAATGTAATATTAAGGAGTTATCATGGTAAAAAGAAAACTTACGCCAAGAAAAAGTACAGTAAGCCTTAATCAATCACCTTCTAAAAATACACGATCACAACCTACATCAGATCTTTCAAGCAATCAGCGAACATCTTCAAGAAAAAGTACTGTCGATCAGCCATCAACAAGCATAAATGTTCCTACATCTTCACAATCTCTGCCAAATGTTTCAAAAAATAGACGCAAATCTGGAAAACGGAAGAAAAAAACATCATCTACTCAAATGACTATTGGACCGAGATATTTCAAAGTTTCAAAGTTTGTATTTTAGTATAGTTTCAATATGTTTAGTGTATGTACTGGAAAATTCAACCAACTTCAGTTAGTTTTTTAATTCTTTATACATATATAAAATACAATCAGACAATTTTTATTCATGGTACGCTAATAGATTCTCAAAAGTAATATGCAAAGTATTAAAATGTTATAAGTATAATTAAATAACTTAGTTACTACTATTTTTGTGTGTTGGTGTTTCCAGTATACATTTAAGTGAATATAATTTAAATAGTGTTTTTTTCTGTAGCAAAACCTTAAAAGACATTGGGAGGCTGCAGCGTGAGGTCACTAACTGTATACCAAGGTTACCTTTTTCTCGTTTAATTAGAGAAATTCTTCTACAGGAAGGCCGGGTGCATCAGCTTAGAGTACAGCTTGAAGCACTGAAAGCTTTACAGGAAGCCAGTGAAATATATTTAGTAAATCTTTTTGAAGATGCTAATAGATGTGCTGCTCATGCTAGGAGAATAACTGTAATGCCAAGGGACATCCAACTAACGTTAGAGTTAAGAGGACCCACTGATTCAGGGAGATGATAAGTTTTTAAATTAATATAGTAGCGTAGGTACAACAAATTATGACCTTGTTTTAAATGACATGTATGACAGAATATGTTTATTTATAATATTGAATGAACTAGAGAATTTTCTATATAGTGACATTTTTGTCAAAATGTGTATTAGAAATGGGTCTAAACCATTAAATTTTTAAAAATTGTTATACATCTGTAAGTATAGAGTATTAGACATAAATATGTAAATGTACAACTGTACAATGTATTTGTTAGTTCTTAAAATATGATTGTACATAAACTATTATTTATTACTCCATTTCTGTTCTTATAATGTTTTCTAAAAGGAAAATTTTGAAAAACCTTTTAACTATATGGCATTGCCATATCTTTAACTATAAAGAATGGACAAAAGTAACATGAAGGGTTAAGGGAAATAAGAAGGAATGTCACATTATATTGTTTTAAGAAAATAGGAAGTTTAATGTTTGTGGCTACATATCTTTAAACTGTTGCATTAAAGAAATAGTATTTGTTTTTATTTAGTAAACTTAAAGTACATTGTATTAAATATACAAACACATTTTAACCAAATTTTTAAAGAACATAGATAATAAAATTAAAAAAGGTACCAAGTATAAGTAATAACTGAAAAAAAAACGACAACTGTACAAAAATCACTTTGTAGAGCATTAGTTGCACCAGCTGATAGAAAGGCTGAAAACAAAATTACTCTTAATATTGTGAGGTAGAGGAATAAAGAAATGGTTAACTTACCCTTACTGGTAAAATTAAACCTACTCGTGAGGTAGGCCATTGTAATAGTCTTGAGCATCCATTTTACAGAACCTCATGAACATCAGTAGATTTTTATATTTTGCAGCAGAAATTGTTAATAGATCTAAAAATGTAGAAAAAGCATTAGTTTTCCTTTTAAAAAATACACAACAACTTACCAATTATATGCAGATGGTGGAAGTTCAAACTCTTCCTCTGGTAATACATTTCTGACTTTTGAAGTTATTTTAGAATTTATCGGAGTTATAGGGCTTTGTATCCAAAGACCTTGATAATTTGTTTTAAAACTGATAAGTCAGATACCCTCGGGTAGTTTCTATTTGTTCAATTTTTTGTATTGGAAATGGACATTTTTTGACATATTTTCCATTTCCTAAAAATGTATCCCATTTTTTAACCATAAATTGTTCCATTTCCACTACCTGGAATGGTGACTGTCTTATCCTTGACACCTTCAAAAAGTTGGAACCAGTCATTGGGTATTTCCTTGTGCGTTTTCAGATTTACGAGTCCCATATTTTTATTACATTCCATGTAGGAATGACCTCTTTCAGGAAATGATATTCTTATTGATTGCAAAAGTTTTGTATTGTTAACAACATAATGAATAAACCGAAACATTGCATAGTTTTTATTCTGGCCACCTGCTGAATCTCAAAATATGTGTAAATGTTTTGCGTTTTGATCCATAAAATTAGTAATATAATGGAACAGGAATGACAACACTTCATTTGGTCCTTTCTTTGCAAATGTTTCCGGATATGAATAAAAAATGAATTTTCCAGTCTACAATACATGGATATTAAAACTATACATAGATAACTGTCTTAAATAGTACACATAATTCGTTGTCACATTTGGCAAGGCAATATTTTTTTGATAGTCTGAAGCAATGGCTACATAGTCTGCTGATTTTTTTGACTTTTTGTGAGCAGCCTTGTTAAAATCATAGAATGTTTGTGCCTTACGTTTGTGGAACTCATTTTGAATTGATAATGTACGAATTTCTGCAGCATCCTTGTCATAATTTAATGATTTTAATTTCACCTGGAATTCATCACATGCTGAACATGTGTCTGATATTGGGTAACCAAAGGATGCCGAATATTACCAATATTGCCAAAATTTGCCGATATGTAATGTAAGAAACTTTAATGCTCAGATATTTTTCTTTAAACAAGTTGAACATTTTTGTAATGTTCAAAATCTCCGATAAATACTTTTTCTTAGATTTGTGTAAACTGTAATGGGATAATCTAGTTTTAAAAGAATTTATGTGGTTATATATATTGCTTCGCTTGTTTCTGGATGCAACTTTCTATGCTGAGAACTGTGCTTACCACGTTTGTCTTGTCCAGAAGTTTCTGTAGCTTTTAAATTTTTTTGTAAGTGTTCAATTTTACCGCTAGTAACATCATGTATTGACATAAATGCTTTAAAGCACACATTAATTTCTTGGGAAACTCCATTATGCTTAACTCTAACGTTATAAGTAAAAAATGCATCGTGAAATTTTGCATGTTCTTTGTTTTGACAGGATCATCGTCTTTGAACTGGTGTAGTAGTCATCAATCCAACCAAATATGTGTTTTGTTCATCATTTGAACTTAAACTGTTAAAATATCTTAACACTTCTCTTCTGTCTATAATTGTTACATTTTCGAAACACTTGAGTCTTTTGCAATTGCATGGCAGTCTTTCTGTAGTTGCATTTTCTGCATAACATCAACCATTTTCCCCCTTTTAAGCTTCTTTCTCGTACTATCACTGTTATTTTTACATTCATCGCTATCGGAAGACATTGTTACGTGTATTATTACTAACGAGTGTACAAATAAAAACGAGACCGGCCGGTTCTAATAAACATAAACAACTAAACTGAACGATTAAACTCAAAATGAAAACGTAGTTAATTTTTGTTTTTGTTCAAGTGGACCCTCCTTGTTTTTATCTTTCACGCGTGGACATTTCTGGTTTTTATCCTTCGCAGCATTATTTAAAATAGGCATATTTAACGGATAAGTATAAGAACAGTATAAGTTATTATCTACCAGTCTACTGTAAATAGTAGATACATAAAATATCTGTTAGATAGTGTCACTATCGCAATTTCTTATAAAATGTGACATTCTCTGTTTTTTCCTTCATCCTTCACATGTTAATAAATCTCATATATATTGATACTAGTACAAACATTTTTACAAGGTTCCTTTGATTTTGAGAATCATAGGCACAATTTTTTAGACACTTAAAATTCCTATTAGTTGAATTTTCAATGGCATGAAAACTCAATTGACATTAAACTTCCAGTACATTTTCAATTTTTTATTAGGGTTTCTGCATTTTTGACTTTTAAAACCACTTAAATTATCATGTGGTAAAGATTTATTGTTTTGAAAAAAAAAAAAAAAAAAATATATCAAAATATATTAACAAAACAGATTCCTTCATGATACACAGCTCTTCGTTGCATCATTTTGAATTGTTCCTATATTTTCTAGAATCTTATATAAGTATAAAATATTTTGCACTTAAGTCATTACGCTTATTACATTAAATTACCAGTACAGTGAAAGTACATGTTTTTATACTGTAGTGGGGAATCCCATAATCTGTTCCATAATTTGTAAAAATTTTATGAATTTACTTGAAGTTTTTTGTGCTCAACTCATACAGCTAATTAACATCTTTATATTTTCAATTTCTGTTGTATTTTTAAACAATCCATCCAATTCTCTGTTTTTGGTAATACTACCGAAGTAGACACACAGGTAGAATATTTTTCATATAATTTAGTTAAAGATTATATACACCTGAAAGATTATTGAAATTTGTACATTTGTTTTATTAAAAAATTGACAAAACATAAATTATATTGCATTTTATAATGACTGATAGTACAGTTGCTGTATTATATCGCACCTTAGGTGCAAGACTGCAGTAAGTCAGAATAAGTAAGTTTCGAGATAAAGACGATTTTGTTTATGTTTGTGCTAATATCGGTGAAATAAGACACAAGTTTTAAGAAAAATTAACACTTAATTATAATTTTTCAGCCTATATTACATTAACCAAAAATAAAAATTTAAATAAAACAATATCAATGCTAAAAAAATTAGTAATTTCAAAGTTACAACACTTTTGCACGGAGAAAATTGTTAATCACTACACATTTAGTATTAGAATTTTAAAGTTACAACACTTTTGCACGGAGGAAATTGTAAAAAGTGTAGACACATTTTCTGTTAGTTGTTGTCCTCTTCTCGTATATCAACTTGGGCCGAAATATTTTTATAAAAACTATGGTGGGCTTCTGGTATCATACCCTAATGGCATAAGTATACCAAATCTTTCTTTTTGGCTATTCTTTGTAGGCGGTTTAAGTAGCTTTAGTTCGTCATCATAGTTGTACTTAAAGAAAATTGTGTGCGGATCGTGTGTATCGCTAGCGGCAATTTAATCTTTCTATCTCTGCACGTGTTTCTGATATCCACAATTCCTTCGCTTTGTAATGACAATATCATAACAAGGTAGAAAAATTATTTGTAAGACTTTCAATATTTTTATTTAAATTCAAAACAAAAGGACTATAATAAAAATATGCAAATCAGGCTACCTTGAGTACAGTGATTAACAAACGGATTGAAATTCACTACCTTAGTAAAAGTTTTAGAATTACGGGGAGACAATATGATAAGACAATCGCCCCGGAAGGTTACATGAAGATTTAATACATGTTGGGATTTAGTTTTTATAGAACAAGTTTTCTGAGAATAGATATTTTTAACCTGTCAGTATTGTTAATACACAAGTTTTAAGATAACTGTTTTTCCTTTCATAAGAAAAAATACTTTTTGGCTGTAAATAGTCTTAATTTATGTGTTTTTAATCCAATCCAATAATTAAATGATCAAACCCATCGCACAAATTTTATGGAAAATATCATGTCACACAAAGGACATAAAATTTACATGCATAGATTGGTCTCGTAAATCTTTGTTTATTGTCTCGACTGTTAAATTAAAATAACAAATATCTTACTTTTTTCGTGCCTTTCATTGCTTGTTATCGAAACCATTGCAATATTCCGAGCAAAACTGTTGTAACTCTGTTACATTAGACTTAACAGTTTGCACAGAACTTATGTACAAAAACGCAAAATAGTTCAACTGTTGTTGTAATATTTAGCTGGTTAAGCATTTGAAAGTTACTAAAGTTTTACAGGGG